ACTTAATACCTGCTTTTAGCATCACGTGTTAGAAAACCATGAGAGAAAGAAAAGAAAAATCTCGCCACGGCAACGATCTCGAGTTCCCTCGCAGCACGCCGCGTAAACTTCTCATCATAAAAATCCACAAAACAAACGTCTCCATCCTAGAGCCTCGTCGCTCGATTGGACCACGTCGACATTTAAAAAACATGGAAAAATTCAACCGACATTCCATCCATCCCCTCTTTTCCAGGAAAAAGCGCACAAGAAAAATTGAGAAAATTCTTCGCTGTTTGGCTTCAGTTAGCCCTGCACGCTTCCTATTTCTTCTAGCTCTGTTTTTCTCTCAATTTTCCCCGATTCCTTCCCGTGATATCTGGTTAGTTATGTATATATGTTTTTTAATTTTTTCACTTCTTCTGCGATTAAATGTTGTAGCAGTTAATGAATATTGTTCAGTGTAATTTTCGGATTTTGTGTGATAATTTTCTCTTTTTTTCTTTTTTCTTTTTTTAGGATTTTCTTTTGTGCTAATAACTGCAGTTTGATTTATATATTGAATTGTGTTTGGATTTGGTAGTTTGATATCTAGGGATTTGATTTCCGCTGGAGTTTACTTCCTTTGAATTTTATATTTGGATGTTTCTTTTTTGATTTTAAGTAAATTAAATGGAAGATTAGCTTAATTTTGGTCGTATTCAGTTCTTCGTTTTTCCGTTGCATTTTTGTCATTTTTTTTCTTTGTTTTATTTTCATGTAAATCTAATAAAACTCTACTTTGTTCTGGTAAGGTGCTGATTTTTCTTGTTTAAATCTTTGACAGTTAGGCATTTGTTGATTAATTAGTATTACCCTGTTCCTGGGATTGAACTACCTTATGAAATTGTCATCCTAGTGGTCTTGGAAGATGACTTGTGCTGCTTCCATGCAGTTGTCTCCTGAAGTGAGAATACACAAGAGTAAACGTTCAGTATGTGATCTTGCCTGGCTTTGGAACCGTTAAGCTCTTCTGTCCGCTTCTTTTTAGCTCATGGCTGACTGCATCTTTCTGTCTCTTTCTACAGGGTATGGCTGAAAAGGGCCGATTAAATGGGTTTCATATCAGCCTTTCCTCACGTTCTATGGTATTTTTTTTCCCTGTGGATTCAAAGTTTATCTTTTTTACATTTTGGGTAGTTTGTAGCTAAGCTTTTGAGCCTTTAGATGACCCCTTTTACTCTGTAATTAAAGATTTATCAGGTTCGTTCTTTTAGCTTAGCGTAAGTGATGTATGCAATGTTTTATGTGTTGACATTGTTTGTCTTTCTCGTTCAGCATAAGTGATGTGTGATGTGTGCAAGTAGAATTTGAAATGTTGATAATTTCTTCTGTTCAATTTTCAGCGACAGGATGCTTGGAGTCTTCATATTTTAAACAGTGTTCGTATGCCAATAAGACCTGTATCGGCAAGGTTTAATATTCTAGTTTGCCGATCTGTTTTATTACCAACTGGAGGAAATGAGGCTCCTGTCATGAAAACTGCTGCTGCTGTTTTGACAAGGTAATCTGCATAAAGTTGTGCTTGTTAACTAATATGAGTATGTAATGCTTATAGTTTGAATACAAGTGAGATTGTGAACTACATTCGTTTTGTAATGAAGTTCACTGTTCTCACTTGGTTCAGAAGTTTGTGAGTTTTGCTCCTTCCTCTTTTTTTTTTTTTTCGGTTTTGTTCTTATTGGCCTTTTCCATTTGGAACTGTAGGACATATGGTGCTTTGTGTGAAAGGTCCCTTGTCCTGCGGTTAATTCCAGCAGTTGGTGTTATTGCTTTTGCCGCATGGGGTCTTGGGCCACTTATGCGTCTGCTCAGGGTCGTCTTTCTTCGTGTATGTACTTTATTTTCTGGATGCCAGGCCTTTTCTCAGTGGCTTAATCCCTTGGGTAACATTTCATTCGGAAAATTAATTAATTGTTTCATTTGAAATCCTCTACAGAGGAGCAATAACAATTGGAAGAAAAGTAGGACACATTACATTGTCAGCTCGTATTTACGACCCTTGCTGCTATGGACGGGAGCAATACTCATATGCAGGTTTATTTCTGCTGTCTGTGGAATTAGAGTTTGACGCTTATATTTTTAGAGCAACTATGAGTGTGCTAACTACAACATTTTATTTTCAGAGCATTAAATCCATTAGTTTTACCTTCAGAAGCTAGCCAGGCTGTTAAGCAACGACTATTGAATTTTGTACAGTCGTTATCGACTGTGCTGGCATTTGCTTATTGCTTGTCAAGGTGAGTTATTTTTTCTTTTTAAATAAGTTTCTAACAAATGGCGTACATTACTTCTTTATATGCTATTGGTTATCAATTGAATGTGGTTCCCTTTCCCGGGGGAGATTTACAGTAATCAACAAATTCCTGCTGTTCAAGTACTTAGTTATAGAATATCTGACATTTGACCTGCATATTTAGTGTTAGTCAAGTTATGGTTGGTTAGACCGTTAATCATGTTCAAGAACAATTTTTGCTGAAAGATTCACATTCTTTTATAAGGGGTGACTTACTGCATGCATGCCTCTTAGCTTGTTGTTCACTCATTTATTGTGCCCTTCTGGTCTAGTTTAGGAATTTGAACTATGGTTTTACCATACAACCTGTGTTTTTCTTGCAGCTTGATTCAACAGGCACAAAATTTCTTTATGGAGATGAATGAGTCTAGTGATGCAAGAAATGTATGTTTCTATTTCTTCTATGTTCTACCTCATGCAATTTCTTTCCTGAATCTCTTTGAGACATGCATTAATTAGTTTAGCAAATTGGTGAATCTTTCTTTACCATGTTGCCAGAAATGGATTCATTTGTTGTAACCTGTAAATTTCTTGTTCTGTTTGTTGTAACTCAGCTGTGGCAGTCTCTGGTTTTAGCACTAAAATTCATCAATGCAATTATTTTTCTCATCTTAGATTTTACCGTCCTGGGTATTAAGGCTACTTAATATGCTCTTGGAATGTCCAGGCGTTTCAAAATTATACCTTGTTCTGACCATTTCTAGGAAAAATTTTAGCATGCCTTTTCTTGGGTTATTCTGTTGCAAGCTCCCCAGTGATTTAGGGAACAATATTTTAGATATCTTGCGGGCACTGATCTATTGCAAGTGGCAAATCTCAACATACTTCTTCTACATGACAGATGAGCTTTGATTTTGCTGGAAAAGCTGTTTATACTGGTGTATGGATTGCTGCTGTGTCATTGTTCACAGAGTTGCTTGGTTTTTCAACCCAAAAGTGGTTAACTGCTGGAGGATTCGGCACAGTATTGATCACACTTGTTGGTCGTGAGGTAAACTGCTATTATGTTGTAAACAAGGTTTCTGAGTTCTAGGAAAATATATCCATATCATTTTCCTGTAAAACCTCTATATGCTATGCAGTCAATTCTAACAAATAAGAACTATGGATAACAGCACAATGAGATACTAGAGGATGGATATATGTTACCTTTAAACTTTCATTACTATCTTAAACCCAGTACTAAATTAATTTTTTTTGTTCAATGACCCATGATCTTTAACATGCATTGCATGTCTTCAAACACCAGTTTATTGATGTGTGCCGTCAAATTCTTTAAGAGCAAAGTTTCTCTGACCTTTTCTCATGACTAATTAATATGTTTATGTGTGCAGATATTTACAAATTTCCTCTCAAGTGTGATGATTCATTTCACAAGGCCATTTGTTGTGAATGAATGGATTCAGACAAAGATTGGAGGCTATGAAGTTTCTGGTACAGTTGAGGTTTGTGTTTACTTACCTTTGCAAGTAACCTGGGAAATTGAAACTGAATGTGAAGAGATATATGATATGCTTTATTTGCCTCTCTTGTAGATTCATGGAATTTGACAATTTAGTTTCTTGTTTATATCAAATAAGAAAAGGAGTTCAAGATCCTAAAATTTATGAGCTATACTTGAATTGAGAATTCATGTTGTTTCAGCATGTTGGTTGGTGGTCACCAACAATTATAAGAGGTGATGACAGAGAGGCAGTTCACATCCCAAACCACAAGTTCACTGTAAACATTGTGAGGAATCTTAGCCAAAAGACTCATTGGCGCATCAAGACGCACCTTGCCATTAGTCACTTGGATATCAATAAAATTAGTGTAAGAAGCATTCCTTTAAATTTGTCAATAAATGGCCTCTTCTTTTATCTTTCCCCTAGCTCACATAACCTGCATCATCTTTTTGTTTTTTTTTCCCAGAACATTATTGCTGATATGCGCAAGGTTTTGGCAAAAACTCCTCAAGTAGAACAGCAAAAGTTGCACAGAAGAGTTTTTCTGGAAAATATTGATCCAGAAAACCAGGCTCTCATGGTGGGTTTTTTTTTTGTCTTTTCTTGATATTTATTTTTCTAAATTAGAGTGTTAATATTTTTAATTGTTTACTTTCATTTATTGTTTTTTAAAAAAAATTTATGTTGCAGTTATATCCAAATCTTAGGCGGCCTTTTTAGAAATTGTTTTGGATCCTCTTTGCTGATTTATCTAAACATAACTTGCTTACAAAAAAAAAGAAAAAAGAGGGTCTTCATGAGAGAAGTTAGCTTATCTTACAGTGTCATACTATCATACCTATCACTCTAAATTGTATGGTTGTGAATTTCTAGTTCTTATATCTTAGCTATTAACAGCCTATCAGTTGGTTCTCTTTTGTTACTGTCGTTTTAACCATACACTTGGAAGATGCAAAGTTTACTTTCTGGCTGTTATATTCTTTGTTAGTAATGTTATTTATTCAGTTAACCTCTTGTTACAGATTTTGGTATCTTGCTTTGTGAAAACCTCACATGTCGAAGAGTACCTTTGTGTTAAGGTAAGATCTGTTTGTTACTCTGTGCTTCATGAAAATATATGCTGTTAATGCAAGGTGATATCTATTGAAGGGTCACACATGAATATGCACTAGCAAGCATGTAATGCAGATGTACATGCACACACACACAGACATGTTTATAGTGGTAGAGATGGCTATATTCTGTTAGTGCCTGATGATAGCAATGCAACAGGAAGTATTACTCTTGGATCTTCTAAGAGTTATTAGTCATCACCGGGCCCGGCTTGCCACCCCCATGCGTAGAGTGCAGAATATATACAACGAGCCTGAGTTGGAAGATTTACCTTTTGCTGACACCAGTTTTACTCGTGATAGAGTATCTAACCGTCCCCTTCTCTTGATCGAACCCTCTTACAAGATCCATGCTGATGACAAAGTCAAAGCTTCAACTTCTTCAGTAGAAACAAATGAAGAAAAAGATTCTAAGGTTGAAGCATTGTCTGCAACCGACTCAAAGGCAAATACCAAATCTGGATCTGTTGTACATTTGAAAGAAGACAGTGTCGCTGCAGCATCAGCTTCCAACTCCAGCTCAAGCTCTGAAGTGCCACAATCCGAACCCAAAGGCGGGAATGATATGGTGCCTGGTAATAATGTCCAAAATTGTTCTGAAGAGCAATTAAAACGAAGCAGGGAGATAACCTCAGAAGGAGCAATATCAGAAAACTCTCCTGTTACTAAACCGCAATCCAGCAATGGAAAATCTGAAAACCTGTTGACAGTTTCACGAGCAAAGCAAGATGTTGAGAGGCCTCCCGCATCACCACCAGTAACCAAGTCTTCCTTGGAAGATAACATTGTTCTTGGTGTTGCTCTAGATGGTTCAAAACGCACCCTTCCGATTGACGAAGAAAGAACTCCGAACGATGGTCAGGTGCCTTTAGTTCCAGGTGGCACTAAAAATGATAAGTAGGATAGGCAAAGGTGAATCTGCTGCTGTTAGGCGTAGTTCTACAACATGTAATGTCCAGCTGTGTTTTTAAAGCTGGCATTGTACAATGCACAGTATCGTGCTTATAATGTTATAGGGATAATTCTTTTATTTTAATTTTTTATATAATTTTCATATGTCATTAAATGAGTTGATATATTTAATATCACATATCTTACATAAATTAAAAAAACCAATTATTTTAATGACACGTCGAGTTGTAAAAAAAATAAGACAAAAAAATTGTACAAAAATTATTCCTTATGCTCATAAATAAGGGTGGTATAGTATTCGTGGGAGAATTTGATTTAAGTTGCAAAATAAAATTATTGGCAAGCCCTGCTTATTCATCTCAATTTAGTCATGTGCCATGAGGGGAATTTTACTTGGTATGGATTAACGGTTTGGATTTTTTAACAAAGATCTTACAACACAAGTGAATGCATAAAATATTAATTATATTAAAGGAGCTATTAAGAATTATGTCATGACATGTAAAATTTCATTGTCAAAAATGATTTTCAATAATGGTATGTTTGGAAACATGATATTTGAAGAGTGCATTTGAATTTGTTCATTTCAAATTCAATATCACAATTTGTTTTTACAAAATAAAAATGTAATTGATTTTAACCCAAATATATGTAATTAGGTTTGTGTATTTCATTACTTTAAAATTCATGTATTTCAAATCTTCTTCTAACCCTATATATTTCAAATTTAGATATATGTATTTCAATTCTCCTAATTTTGATGGACCTCATCAGTGGATTATTTCACCTTACCCACCCTTCCGCTGCTCATAATGAACCAAATGAACCAAATCTTTGGCGGAGCAAGCTTGTATTCTCCTCTCCAGAAATGGGCGGGCAACACTCCACATGATCAGCCATCACAGTAGAGTCGTAGACAACTCCTAAGGCATATTGAGCAAAGCAGACCAGCAGACACATGCAGCTAGAGTGTCATAGCAAAGGAAGATTAAACACTTGTGGATGGATCAGCACTGGGTACAAATAAAAAAGTGAGTCTCATTGAAAGTTTGCGATAAAAAGCCATTAAAGAGGCAGAGGAAGAGTGGGAGGTGGAGAAGATGATAAAAATGCCTTGGAAGTGTTTGTAAAAATGCCTTAATCAACAACTTGAATATCAAATTCATTATTATTATATTAATCCAAACAATAAATTTAAAAATACATGTACTTTAAATTACATGTATTTTAAATACATCTTTCAAATACAAATTTAAGTTCCCAAACATAACCTAAATGAATTTCCATTGAATAAAGCCTCTAAATTGGCACTGCCCACATGTTCGTGTTCTCATAATTCAACATGCCTACATTTTTCCCCCAAAAAAAGAAATGTAGACACATTTTCAACATCATTTTTCGCTGTGGGTTGCACGAGGAAACCTAATCTTTTCTCATTTCTCACACCCACCCAGTCGTAATGTCGAATGACTCACCCCGCCAACAAGAGATTATCATTGGCTGCTAGGTTATTAGTTACATTTGGAACATTTAGGAGCATATTTCCTGACAATACATCCAAGCTACAGATATTGGCAGCCACATTGTTTTTAGATAAAGTCTAATAAAATAAATAACATCTAAATTACTTCCAATTAAGCTTGACACATGCAGTCAGGAGCAGGATATGTATATATGGATTGCTTCTGCTTTCTTAACCTGGTTTGTCCTTGTCTATTTTTATGCCCATCTATAACCTTCTGCTGAAACTCAGACCATCCAATGCTCCCATTCAGGAAGAGTGGTCCCAGCAGCAACATGTTTGGTCTTATGGTCTTCAAGTTCAAGTAAGCTCTGTGTCCCAACTGATGATGAGAGATCAAAGTTCATTCAGAAAATTTCCCTCTATTTCATTTCACTTAACTATTCATTATCCTAAACTAGAAAAAACTGTTTATCATTAAAATAATAAAATAAAATAATAAATGATATGTAGATTCTTTACCAGTGCATTGTGCATGTTTCCTGGGGAAGCAGAGACGAAGATATCGCTTTGGACGCTCACGTAGTAATCAACTGCAGCCAATAAAGAAGCCTTGCCTTCAACCTCAGCCAGCTCCTCTGCAGAAGCAAGGCTCTTCTTATCTTCCATTAATGGAAAAAGTTTTTGCAGAAACGAAATCCTTGCTTCTCCACCATAAACCTGAAAGAAGATGTTATCTTTCAAATCTCAAGGTAAAAGTGTGAACAAGAGATTTCAAATGTAACCAATTTAGAGAAATATCAAAAATTGCTTATATCTCCTGCTTAAGATAAACCTTGTGTGAAGCAAGATAGAGCCGAGTATTGTTGTCAAAACCCAAAGCTGCTAGCAGCAACCCTATCTCCTCTGGTGTCAATGGGCAGCGGCCCTGACCCCTCAACTCCTCATCAGTGTACTGGGAGTTTAAGACTCTTCCCTGCCATAACACTTGGCGATACTTGGCTAGAGCTAGTCTCTCAGCTTTACCTCCACCAAAATTGCAGGCTGAATGGGCAGCCATATCCTGCAAAAGGACACAATCCAACAGTGACAGCCAATAAAATGTCAGGACCTTTAAAGCTCAAGAGAAGCACATAGAGCATAATTTTGTAAACTCAAGTGACAAAAGTTATTCTTCCGCATGTTACCAATCAAACATAAATCAGTGAAGTCAGATTTAAAGGAATTAAGGATCACACTTTATCAAACCGAAGATGCAATACAACAAACTTTCCAGCTCCTTCTGCAGCATCATCCACTTTCTCCTGCAGGAACTCAGCCTGTGAAGCTTGATACTTGCTAGGAAGATACCTGAGGCGATGAATAAGGGTCTCTCCTAACATCTTGATATGAGAGACAAAAACCAATGCTTGGAAGTTGACTTTACAACGTAGGCGTTGAATATTTGCTGGCAAGTTCTCGAATGCCAATCGGTGAGAGAATGGGGAAATAGCAGCAATCCCGTAACTGAAACCATTAAAGCACCATTAGTATTCAAAGAAATCATTGCCCACGACCATGTACGATTTGACTGTCCAACATTAATGCATCTCAGTAAGAGGCTCCCTACTGTTGGGTTTTAAAATGGTTTTCATTGACTAGGTTATCCAGTTATTTTAGTTTTTAGTTTTTACTGAATCAAATTGGTTACTAGAGAAAACAAAAATAGTCCAGATTTTCAATTCAATTTGTGCAAACCAAGATATAATTTGCATAAAGTTCTAATAAAGCTCACTAACCTCTGCAAAACAGGCAAGACATTTTCCAGGTACCAATTAGCTGAAGCATGGACGGGTGCAGATTTAACTCTAGTAGCTCGAATACCCGTAGCATAATACTCCCTAGTGCTCCAAGAGTATTCTCTGGGCATCTCTTTTACAATAGAAATATCATTACTAAGCACACTAATAAAATGATCCACATCAAATATATCCCCAAAGGAACTGCAAAGGAAAACATAAAGTTGCATAAACATCTCCTTCAAGGAGAAAATTGAAATCTAATATAGGTCATAAAGAAATCTTGCTTATCATGGAGTACCTTGAATCCTGCCAGACAGGATTTACTTCAAGGTGTGGTATCACCAGTGTTGCATTCAATATTTTAGCAACAGCAACTGCATCACAGATCTTGGAAATAAAGAAAGAACACAAAAATGTCAAAAGACAAGCAATTCTGACGTGCACACACCAGCTAGCGCAAAAAAAAAAGTGGGGGGGAGGGGGGCCATAGAATCCTTGCATAGTGACCACATTGACATGCTAACTTACAAAAACTCTGACAGGCATGCTTCTTAGTTCTTGGTAACTGGATAACAACTCACCCCAAATCTCTGCTGGTTTAATCCTCCATCAAGAAATACCTGAATAAACCCTTGAAATTTCTCCGGCAATGCTTCGAGAAGTAAACGCAATTTCATTAGAAAATCAGAAAATCACAGACCCATTCAGTGGCTTAAATCTAAGACTTCCTAGAGAGTTTAATCTTGGAAACTAACACAGTAATCTGTAACAAGAACAAATCTTTTTTACCTCCAGTCCCCAACACTTACAAGGGATATTTTTGGACTCAATGCAGGGCTTCCACCCTTGATTCGGCAACGGAGACCATAACTCAGACTGCTGCTTAATCGGCTGAAAAAAAAAAAAAAAGAAGAAGAAAAAAACAATTACAGCTTCCACCAAACGGCGATTTAAACAACATGATTGAAAAAAAGCATCAGAAAAAAGGTAAGATTTGATAAATACAGTTTTCCTATTTATAGCGCCCTCAAGTAGAGGTAAATGCCGAGGTCTTGGAGCATTCCATTCCTGCGAATTCAAAGCTGAAACAGTAAATAGAAAACCCAGATGTGGATTCAGTGTCCAAAGGAAGAGTAGAGACATACGGAGAAGAGAGAAGGAGAGGCGCGGCCCAAGGGGGCGAACAGATTCGGGACAAAAATCGGCAAGAGAATGGCGAAAAGTCCAAGGAATGCGATTCTCTGAGGATGTTGATTGGATGAGAGCTTCATCCTGCTGGGAGCGAATTTGCGCGGGGAAGTCCCCAGGGTTTGGGGGGAGAAATGGAAGGAAATGTAGCAGGGTGCGAGGAAAAGGAGAGGAAGGATGGAATTCAGTTAGCAGACAGGAACTGTTTGTTAAAAACTTAAAAAGATGGTTCTGCATTCAAATGAATAAAAATAAAAGTAGAAGGAGTATCATGAAGATTAAGAACAAGAACAAGGACTAAATGGAAAATTAACGGTTTTATAGTGTGGTTTTACAGTGTGCAGGTATAACAAAAAGAGCAGTGCTAGGACCAACGGGCTGAAGCCTAATGGTTGGTCCCAAACCTTAGGGTTTGAGAGTGACGGAAGTTAGGATTCAAACTCTGTCATCGTTATAAACTTCACCAACTTGTAACTTAATAGTCGCACGCTTTATATGAGGAAGTGGAATGTTCACCATTCTGGAAAATCCCAACTGCTAATAAATTAACTATATTAACTTCTTAATCATTACCTTTATCAAAAAAAAAAAAAAAAGAGCAGTGCTAGGGGCACTCGCTTTCTGCACTCTCCGGCCAACACCTCCTCTTTCATTGGGCCACGTAAGCTTCTTTAAAGCTTTCAGGCAACCAGTCGAAAACCAAAATAACGTGGCCCAATAAAGGAGAAAGTGTTGGCCGGAGAGTGCAGAAAGCGAGTGCCCCTAGCATTGCTCATAACAAAAATAGAAACGAATTGGTAGAAGAGAAGACGAGTCTGGTGTTGGTGTAACTGCCGGCAAAAAGGAGAAAAAATAAAGAAGAAAAAAACTACTTTTTTTTTAATAACAATTATTTTTTATTTTAAATTTATTTTAAATTAATTGTTATTTTCTTATTTTTTAAAATAAATAAATATTTTTTTAATTTAATTATGTTACTATATATTTATTTGGATTAACTATTTTACTACAAAAAATTTAATTTAACTTTTACTTTTTTTAAATAATATAAACAAATACATACATGCACTTGAGCCCAATGACCCGATAGTTTTAAATTTTTTTGAAAGTGCATCCCTATCTTAAAGGCTGCAGCTCGAACTCCCACCCCTCATTTGTACCCCGTTCAAAAAAAAAAAACAAATACATACATAATATCTAAATATTTAATTTAAAAATAAAACTAAAAAACAGCTCTTCTAATGTTCTAAGCATTCGTGTTTGTTCGATAATGTTGTTTGATGGAACGGTGCCGTCATTTCCAGTTTTTAAAACCATTTTTGTTTATATTTTGACAGCTAAAACAAAAAGAACAAAAAAAATGAAAACAACAAAGCATAATATCCCCCCTTTCTCCTCTTTCCTCTTTTTTTTTTTTTTAGTAAATCCATTAATAATTAGTTTGATTCTACAATTCAGTTGTTAGCAAACTCCTAAAAATATGTTTTAAAAAATACTAAAAATAAATTGATTAGACAAGTTAAAAGGTCATAAATTTGACTTGTAATAAATGTGTGAATAAAATGAGTAAAGTAACGAGAGAAAATTGTCACGCTTTAAAATCCCACATTCAGTATGAGATTACTTCCCATTTTCAACGATTTCATACCGTTGCTCCATTCCGCCGGCATATTGATGACGTTCTAAAATCATTAAGGCCCAAACAATTGTCCGGCTGCGTCTCACATCCAATGACTTATCACAGTTAAAAGATACAGCAAAAAACTCTATTCACAGCATGGCACATAAAAAGCTTGTGGGATCTGATTCCTAGTATATGTAACATGAAAGGAAAGAAAACCCAACGGTGTGTCTACTTGGCACTTACACAAGATGGTCTTCTGTCAATGGTTAAGCTTCGTGTCAGTCCACTTTGCTCTCATCGGGAGACATGAGTCTAATCTTTTTGGCAGGCTGCTGCTCATCTGGATCGGGCAGGAGACCATCTTCAACCATTTGCATATCATTGCAATTGGCCTCCTTGTGTTCCAACATCACAGGGCCTTGATCCAATTGGTTCCCTGCCATATTAGGATTTTGTGAATCCACTTCTCCCTCATGAGGCGAACTAACCCGAATCCTTTTTGTGGGTTTATGCTCACCTTGTTCAGCCAACAACCCATCTCCAATTATTTGTGAATCACACATGGCCTCCTTGTGTTCCAACATCGCAGGGGCATGATCTGACTGGTTCCCTGTCATATCAGGATTTTGTGAATCCACGTCTCCCTCATGAGGGAAACTAACCCCAATCCTTTTTGTGGGTTTCTGATCATCTGGTTCAGCCAACAGCTCATCTCCGATTATTTGTGAATCACACATGGCCTCCTTGTGTTCCAACATCACAGGGCCTTGATCCAACTGGTTCCCTGTCATATCAGGATTTTGTGAATCCA